TCTCTGTTATCTGTGAGTAAAAGTCTGAAGGAGTCTCTTGGAGCTCTTTTTGGTCCATTTATTTCCTGCTTGTAGAGAATTGATTTTTCTAATTTGCCTTTAAACGTAGCGAGTGTTGTTGGGAAGCACAGAACAATATCATCCCAGTGGGAAGGAAGGCCACTGAGTGAGGAAGGTGGTTAATGGAGTGATGTGAACCACGTCTTTCATGGGTAACATCTGTTTTGGATCTATTTAAACTCTTGTAGGGGGGAGTGTTTGGTACAGTTTCAGCATCCTTCCTCTTTCAGATATTGTGAGCTCACAGTTCACATCCTCATTTACACCTACAATACTCTGGAAAGACAAGAGGTAAAAAAGAGACTTTTGAAATTATTGTGGCAATGTGCAAGGACTGAAAGAACACCAAGGGAAGGAAAAGAAGGGTGGGACATGGAGCTGGAGAGAAGCTCCCTGTGAGCTGTGCAGCAGGGGTTATACCCAGCCACAACTGCAGGCTTGTTGAAGATTAATCCAGTTAGTGACCCAGAGGAAAACACAGAAACAATATGGTCAGCTCAGCAGTTCTAAAATAATTTTGGTCTCTATTATGTCACCCCCTTTAAATACCAATTGTTTGTCGCTGGCTCTGCTGCCCATCAGAACTATTATTAAGAACTATTTGCCATTTGCTCTTTCCTGTCCTCTTAGCAATAACTTCCTCTCTTTGCAGCTCTTTTCCCCAAGAGCTGGACATCTGTCTTCCTCCTCGTGGTGACAAACACCACTCAGGGCTCTTCTTCCCAGCTCTCTGTGCTCAGCTGAAGGTTGAGAGGTGTTGTTGGGATTTTCCTTTCCTCCCATCAGCATCACAAAGCTGCTGATGTGTGGATGGGCTGGGAATACAGACAGCTGTGGCTCAAGGGGATTGATGGGAACTGGACTCTCAGAGCTCAGCGAAGGTAGATGGTAATAAAAAAAACATTAGTTCCCAAAGTGGGTTAAAAAAGTTATTTATTTACCTGAGAAGTGGGAAGTAACAAGGAAAAATCTCCCTTATTTGCAGGTCTTGGGTATTTGCTGTGTTAATCAGTGGTGGGAGATCATTGACTTACAAACTGTGCAAACCCATTGTGGTTGGACTTCTGGCAGTAGGTATTTTGAGGACATAATTGAAAAGGTGGCTTACAAAGCAATCAGTGCCTTGGCTGCTCAGAATGGAACATTTCCAGGGCAAAACCCCTCCATATTTGAACTCTGGGAATTTTTTGTTTGCCCCCCTCCTTGTGTTGAATATTCCTTGATGATCATTCGCAAGTGGAATTTTGAATTTTGCACTTCAGTTTTCAGTGCTTGGGGTGTCTGTAGTTTAAATGAGCTTTGCTTTGGGAGAAGCATTTAGCCAGAGCTGCCTTTGCAGGAGGATAGATCCAGGTTTTCTGCTGGAGAAAGGAACCTTTTCCCATCACACACCAAATCCCAGGCACTGAAATGGAACACGCACGTCACCCTCAGCCCTGTGTGTACTTGTCTTGCTCTAAAAGACAGGAGTTGGCTTGTGCAGAATTAGACATAAAATTTTTCATGCCAGCTTTTAGGGATTGCAAAAGTTTCAGGAATAATGAGATCCAGTTTGAGGCATCTGATTTTTAACTGGTTTGTAGAGATAGATTGGATATCTGCAAGTTATCGTAGTTCTAACAGGGCTTTTCTTGGAAGCAGAGGTGCCAAACCACCACTTATTTTGAAGCACAAAGCGTCTCAAATTAGACACCAGGAGTCCTTTGAAATGCTGATGAGTTTGTGCACCTTGAGGAGAGACCAGGAGGGACAAGAAGGGAGGATGCTGATGAGCAGGATCTGTGCTGGACCCAAAATTTGGCCGGGAATGCTGCTGCCCCTGCACTCTGCAGCCCAACTGATCCAAGCACAAGTTTGGGATTTGCAGCTCACAAAGAGGCACAAGCCAGAACATCTCCTGATGCCCGTGGTGGGCAGCTTACATAATGGCACTTGCATAACCCCAGCAAGTTCTGTCAGGGGCTCTGTCCATGCCAAATTAAGGCTCTCTGGGGTTTTGTGTCACATTCACGCTCCGTTTGGAATTGTGCTCCAGTTCATCACAAATTCCAGTTCCTTCTACGTGAAGTGTGTGACCAAGAGCCAGTGAGGCTACAAGGCTTGTCCCTTCAGCCTGGACCTCCCATCTCCTTCATCAGTGCATCTGATTTCCAGCCCACTCTGCTGAATTATTTGCAGAATCCTGTTTTCCTCTTGCAGCCCAGAGAGTTCAGTTCTGACCCTGTGCCAGGGTGATGGTCCCTGTTCTCTGGGACATTGTTCCTTTGCTGGAGAGCTTCAGGGAAGCCAGTCTGGTCTTGGTTCTCAGTTCTCACTGAGATGTTCTTGGCAAAGAGGAGAGGGTGGCAGTTAGACACTGGGGAAGAAGGTTTTTTTTCCCTCCAGAATTTTCTTTGCAAGGTGAATACTCTTAATTACCACAGGATAATTACGGGTGGATGGAATCCAAGCCCTGCAGGCTGTTTGGTCATCACCAGGCAGTGACTTCACTTTGGGCTGGGTTTCCCTCACTCTCCAGGTCTGTAAAAGACTGAGCAGATACCAGATAAAGCAGAGGGGGATTGGTTTGCTTTGTTTTTTTTATCTTGCACAACCCAAAATTTCATCAAGCAGAGCTAAAAGCCTCGGGATGTTTAAAAACTCTCACTGGTGGGGGGATTCACGTCGCCAGAGGGACCCCGAGGCTGGAGGGCAGAATTTGTCCCACCCAAAGCAGGTCACTGAAACAGGACAAATGAGTCACATCCTGAAAAACCCCCTTTCCTCCCTCCCCTGCTCTGAGGGGGCAGCTCAGCCTGGGCATCAGGGGGGGGAAGTGTCCAAATCTCAGTCACTTCTAGGAAAGGATTTTCACAGCTGAAAGCATCTCCAGTCCTTTCCCGGCGGCTCAGGCTCCCCAGGCTGGTGCTGGCACCAGGTTTGGCAGATCCACCTCCTTTGTTCAGTTAGAAAAGTGCTGGATTCTGAGCTTTTCAGGTCTTTTCTTGCCGGGGGTGGGGGCGTGGGGGCGACTGGATCTGCCCGCGAGGAGCGACCACAGCGACTCAAAACGCTGCCTATGAAATTTTAATGCTTCCTAAAGCCTGGCTGAGGAATTGTAAGGATCCCACCCATCACGAGGGGGGAGTTAATTGAATCAATGAGGTGAACAAGAGCCGCCCAGCAGATGCCAGGGGGGGTTTGATCAGCCCTGTCATTACGGCAGGACCCTCGTCACTCCCCACGGAGCGATTACAGCCCTGCACCAGCCAGGGGATTTGGTGGGAAGTGGCCAATGAGGGGCCAAGCCGGCTCCAAATCCAGCTTTTTGCAAAGCCCCAGATAAAACAGGCTTCCATTAATAAGGCAAGAAAGGTTAGGACGAGCAGCATTGCAGCCAATCTGGAGAGGTAAGGTGATAGTTTTGTTGGAGGCTGGTCGAGCATATGGCCCCAGCTTGGTGTGGGGAGCCAGGGTGCAGTTAGGCTGGAAGTGGGACATTATTTGCATGTCTGCAGAAGTAGTTTATTTGCTGATCTTGAAAAATGAGAGAACTGGAGGCACTCAGTGTAAGCAGGAAGCTAAACACAGATTTTCTGTGTTTTCGTAGCTTGTGTGCTCGTTCTGGCTGATAAATAAGTTTCTTGAGAGCAAAGCTCTGAAAAATCATTGTAACCTGTTTAGTTTTAGGTTCTGGGGTTTGAAATGGAGATTTGTGGTCAGAAACTGCTGGGTAGTTACAGAGCTGGCTTGTTACAGGGGTTCTGATGGCTGCTCTTTCTCTCTGCTCACATCCACGTACAGAGATGGAAATGGAGCAACTGATTGAACTAAGTTAGTTACAATGGAGGAGATGTAGAAAATAAAACGTGAGAATGTAAAGCTGAGCATAAGAATTAAAAAAACTGGGCTTTTCCCACCCTAATCTTGAGATCTGTTGCTGCACAAAAATGGTGCTGAGCCGTTTAAACTGTTTGTGGCAGCGTAGGCTGGAGCTTCCCTAGACAGTGGTAATCTCTTGTGCAAACCACCTTCCATCGGTGTGACACGGCCTCACCTCCAGCCCCGCTGTGCCCCGCTGTTCCTCCCTTCTCCTGCCCAGTCCCCACTCCCTCCTCCCTCCTGGAAAACAAACAAAAAAAAAAATAAGTGGCAGCTGTTGGAAAGTAGAGCCCATTTGTTTTATGGTGCCGCTTTGGGAATATGATCCAGATCCTACATGAGAGAGAGAAAGCAGCAGAGCGAAAGAGAAGAGGGGGGAGTTGAGAAGCTCTGGAGAATAACTTGCTTATTTTAAGTCTTAGTGTAGAAAGTTCAATCTTTATGGTGAGGTTCATGGATAAGGCAGAACTGCTGCTAAAGGTCCTAGCTTGGGAATCAAAGAACTCCTAGTTGATTGTAAGTAATTTTAAGAGTTTGTTGTTGTTTTGTACAAAATCTCCAGTGCAGTGAAATGTCTTTGATTGTCCTCTGGCTGCAGGGAGGGTGTTCAGATCTGAAGATGTGTTGTGTGGGGTTTATTTTTAATTTACTTGAGCACTTCAGGTAAAGGAACAAGGTTTTCCATGGAAGGCACCTCTGTTCCTTATTCTGGCTCCTGGTTTCAGTTGGTGCCAGGGCACAAAAGGCACAAAAGCAGAAGAATATGCTAAAACTGGCGGCAGCCAAAAGCCATTCATAGTTCTACACCTTGGGCTTCTGCCAAGCAATTAATGGGAACTCAGACTATTTATTTTTGTTGTCAGGTCAAACAACTGACTTCTGTCAGCTCCTCTGATTCCTAGAGGGAAACTCCTAGAAAAATCTCAGGAAAATCCAATGGAATGGATGTAGTACAGGGCAGTGCATGGAAAATGCAGGCAGTAGGAAGAGGTGGTGTTTCAGAAACCTGCTCCAAATGTTCTTGCTCTCTCCTGGCTCCTGGGGACGCTGATCCAACGTGTGCTTCCTTCCCTCCACAGCTCTCCATGAAGGAGGTCGGGGACGGGCTGCACGAGCAGATGAACTGCATGATGGGGGCCCTGCAGGAGCTGAAGCTGCTCCAGGTCCAGACGGCTCTGGAGCAGTTGGACATCTCCGGGAGCCGCAGCCCCGGCTGTGGGGTGGAGCAGCAGCACCGGTGCTGCCGGAGCTGGGGAGACGTTCCCAGGGCCTGGCAGGACGAGTGGCCACGGGGGGAGCCGTCAGTGGAGGGGCACAGCCCCACATCCTTCCCACATCCAGCGGGGTTGTCCCATCCCACCGCGCTCCTGGAGAGCGACCACCTCGGGGACACCCCCTCCTCCTCCAGCAGCCTCTGTGGGGAGGGTGTTTATGCCCCAACAGGACCTTCCTGTGTGTCCAGCAGAGCCGAGCATGTCCGCCCCAGGACACTGGAGTGCAGCATCCAGGGCACGGCCGGGGGGTGGCCGGAATGCCGGGAGTGCCCGGGCTGTGATGATGGCCACGACTGGACGTCCTCCCTGATGTCCCAGAGCAGGAACCGGCAGCCGCTGGTGCTGGGGGACAACATCTTTGCAGACTTGGTTGGGAACTGGTTGGACCTGCCAGAGCTGGATAAGAAGGGGGAGAAGAGCGAGGCGTCCCTGTCCGTGAGCAGGTCCCAGGAGCTCTGCAGGAAGTTCTCCCTCACGGCCAACATCTTCAAGAAGTTCCTGAGGAGCGTCCGGCCCGACCGAGACAGGCTGCTCAAGGAGAAGCCTTGCTGGCTCCCTCCCGAAGACAAACAGCCTGAGATCTCCAAGAGATCCAAAAAGATGAACAAACTCAAGGGCACATTTTACTTCCCGCTCCACGGGAGCCATCACGGCAAAGCAGAGAGGTGCCCAAAGGCAGAAAGCCACAGTGAGCACCCCAAAACGGGCACCAAGAAAGTCCACGAGTCCAGAGACTACACCCAGTCTGGGTTTGACATCAACACAGCTGTTTGGGTCTGAGTTTGTCCGTGTTCTCTGCTCTGCCCAGCATTTGTCCCACACCAGGGAGGAGCTGGGGGCCACACTTGTCTTTTCAGGAGACCCCTGAGCTCCTCACATGTACTGAGATGAGTCCTCTGCAAAACATGCTGAGGGTTTCCCTCGCAGATAGAATTTGCTGGAAAAGTGCATCTTCAGGGGCAGCCTGAGCAGCAGCTGACACAGAGTTTTGGGGACTGGTTTTTGCAAAAATAATCCGAATCTTTAGCAGCTTTAGGGTGAGTGGTGCCATGGATGACCAGCTCCTGGGCCTGGGCTGGTGACAGCCACTCCAGGCCTATTCCATCATCTCCAGCTAAATGGCTGCAGCACAAAATCCACTGTGTGCATGTGTGTGTGTGTGCGTGTGTATGAGTGTGCAAATATATATATATAGTTTTTTAAAACAAAGAAAAATCTATTCCTGCTTGTGTGCACTTGAAACTGGGTTATAAACCAGGCAGCCCAAGCCTTGTACCCGAAGCACTTGTTATTTAAATGGAAAGGAATAAGTTTGAAGTTATAAGACTTGAACAGTTGCTGAATAGGAGGTGAAACCCCAACTTGGGGGAGTTTTCCACTTAAACCAGTGTGCTCCCAGCACCTCTCCTTCCCCTGCCAGTTAAACCAGCAAGGCACAAGGCTCCTTGCAGGGGGATTTGTGACCCTGGGGGTGTCGGTGGGGTTTGCCCCTTTCCTCTCCCCTTGTCCCCACAGGTTGCACCAGATACAACATTGCAAGAGTTAATTGTTGAGTTTTCACAGGCAAAGTTAAAAACTTCGTTTATTGTTGTGTTTCCTGTTGCTGTTGTTGTACAAACCTTGTCTTGACAGAACCAAGTTCTTCAGTGTCCGACTCTCTAAGAGTTTCCAATAAAGTGGAATCAGTTTTGTCTCCAGTGTGGGACACCCTGGGTCCTGCTTCTCTCCTTTTGGGGTTTTCCCCATTGTGGAACCACACGTGGATCATCTGGGGGGGGTTGGCACTGGGAGCCTGTGGTCCGTGTCAGGCTGTTCCCAGCTGGGATCAGGGAGTCTGGGGAGCAGCCAGGAGAGTTTCCATTCAAGGAGAGGTTGTAAATCCCAGCAGGGAGAAGGGCTGCAGGCAGAGAGGTCCCTGCCAGGGTGCCAGTGCTGCTCCAGAGGCACATCCCAGTGCAGCCCAGGCACAGCCCTGAGAGCCTTCAGGTGACACTTCAACATCCACCTTCCTCCCCCAGCACCACGAGGGGAAAAACTTTGGGGGAGAAACTGCTGCCAAGGAAAGAACCTCAGAGCCACACAGCCCCTGATCTGTGGAGGGGGACAGAGCCTTGGGGGTCCTGCCACAGCCTCCTGTCCCCCTCCAGTCTCCAGGAATTCAATCTGAGGTGAATCCCTGGCAGCTCCCAGAGCCACAGGAGTGTGCAGACAGCAAGAGCCTGTGGCTTGCACTGCAGCCCCCCCTCTCCATCAGCCAGGAGCCTCACCAGATGCTTCATGTGTGCCCCAGTGTTATGTTCCAAAAACCTGTTCCACTCACTCCAAGTTTAGGAAGGCCTTATGTGCGAGCTGGGGCGTTATTATTCTTTTTTTTTTTTTTTTTAAACGTGCAATTCTATTCCTGTTGTAACTTCCCCAGGCAGAGGGAGGCCAGTGGAGCAAGAGGCATGGAGAGAGAATTTTTTTCACCCTTGCAAATTAAATATAGGCACAAGGCAGGCCCTGTTTGTGCCCATACAAGGAGAGGAGCAGGGCAGCATCCGAAGGCTGTGCTCAGCACTTTTTCAGGAACCTGAGTTGCAAGCAAGCTTTTGTTTTTCCTCCTCACAGACTCTAGGGCTGGTTGTTTTCCCCCTTTCCTAATTTCTCTGAATGCTGAAGGGCTGTTTCTGAAGCATTTTGTTTTCCTCCTCTTTTATCAGCAGTTCATCCTGTTTGGTACAAACACGCCCTCCCTGCCCCTTTTCCAGAGGGTCAGCAAAGAGGAGAAGGAGTTTTCTGGAGAGAGCAAGAGCTTTTTTCCTGCACCAGCCTCAGTCCTGGGAAGTGTGGCATCGCCCCTGGGGCTTCCCTTCAGCCCAGGCACAACCTGGGGGGACCCAGCCCTGGGCACCCCCATCCCCAGGAGCACATTCCTGACTGGCACCAAAGGCTGAGCCCCATGGAGAGAGTGTGAATGGGGAGATGCCCAGGAAAACATCCCCACCAGGGGCTTTTTTAGCCTGTCCCTGGCATTGCCCTCGGCTGTGCTGGGTGTGGTGGGCACCAGGGGAGGGCCAGGCTGAGCAGGGTGGGGCAGGGGCACGACCACGGGGGCACTTGGGGTGAGAGGAGGTGCTGGGTACAATTCTGCAGGTGGCTGCCTCTGCAAGGCCTCGTGTTGCCCAGGGGACAGGATGTGTTTGTGCAGCACCCAGGGACATCTGGAGCTTGAAATGCACCTTGGGAAGCTGCTCTCAGGGATTTCCCCCCACCCGTGGGTGCCATCCCACCTCCAGCTCCCTGCAGTCTGTGCAGCTTCAGAGGCTCAGACCCCCTTTCCCAGCACAAGTGGTCCCTCATAAACGCTGATCCCACGCCCCAGCAGCTGTTGTGGGGCCTCTCCCCCATCCATGGGGGTCTCCTGAGGCACCAACAGGAGGTTTCTCCGGAGGAAAAGCCCCTCTGGCCCCCCGTGCTCCCGACAGCTGCCCCAGGGAGTGGTGCTGGGTGCTCCTGCTGCTCAGGGATCAGCTGCCAGGCCCAGCCCTGCTCCCAGGAGGGACCATTGTTTGTAGTTTCACGTGGAGAGGGCAGTTCTTGGCCCCAGCTGCCACCCACATGTTCCTTTCCCACCCGAAAGAATTGCTCCTGCTGCACTGCCCAGGCTGTGCCCGCTGCCACCCACATCCCTGTGACAGGGACAGACCCCAGCAGCACCCACTGCTCCTCCCTTCAGCTCTAGGGTGGACACCTGAGGACAGTAGTTTCCTTAATTTCTTCCTTTTCCAAAGGATCAGACCCTATTTGGGCACTTTGCATGGACAGCTGACCAAACACCCAACATAGTTCCAAGTTTATGTTCTCTCTGCCTGTTAAGTTGTTTCTTCAAAGCATGTTTTGCATCAAAAGAGGATTTTCCAGGGGCAAATTTAGTGGGATCTTGGCTTCAAACAGGCACCTGGAAATGGTGAGTAAATGTAGCTGCGTTTCAAAGTTCTTCAGAGAAAAAATATTTAATAAATATTCTTTATAGACATTCAAATAATAGACAATAGCAGCCAAGCCAGACATCCTCCCTAATTTAGTCTCCAGAGCTAACAGATCAGAGTTGGATTTGTGAATTACCATTTCACTTCTCCAGGGACTTTTCCTGAAATTATAATGGCTTTTACTCCTCTTTTTTTTTTTAACTTCTTTTTCATGAAACTGCCATTATTCTCCATTATTAAGTATGAAACCTACCTAATTAGCACAATGACAGTCTCTAACGAGGCCCTGGCTGTGTTGTGCATCAGTGATAGAAGTGGTTAATCCCAAACACAGGACAAAAATTACAGAATTACAGGAACAGGTTCCCTGTGAACTTGTCCCAGGAAATGCAGCTCAGGCATTCTTAGAAATCTCTGTCCCATCTCATCCAGGGGCTGGATGAGCAGCACACCCAAAGCCCACAGCACCCAGCACTGCTCTGGCACCACTGGAATGGAGAGGAGCTGGATCAGGCCCGTGGGGCTTAATGTCCAGAGAGGATTTAGCTCTTAACGTTAATCGAGGGCTTTTCCAGGAGCTGCTCCCTGCTCAGCCTCTCTGGGCTTTCCCTGCCCGGTGCCCAGGCTGACACCCTGCTCTCCCAGCCAGATGGCCTCCAGAAGGCTCACAAATGGGCCTGCAATTAAAAAGCCTTTATTTTCAAACCCATTTCACAGCTCACTCTTCTGACAGTGAGATGGGGCAGGAGGGAAGGGGCAGCCCGGGCTCGCTGCCCCACGGAGGGTTTTCCTTTGCCCCTGGCACGGGGTGTTTGTGCTGGTTATGTAGTGACAGGATGGGGGGGAATGGCTTTAAACTGGAAGGGAGTGCATTTAGACTGGATTTTGGGAAGAAATCCTTCCCTGTGAGGGTGGGGAGGCCCTGGTACAGGTTGCCCAGAGAAGCTGTGGCTGCCCCATCCCTGGTAGTGTTCAAGGACAGGCTGGATGGGGTTTGGAGCAACCTGGGCTAGTGGAAGGTGTCCCTGCCCATGGCATGGGGTGGGACTGGATGAGCTTTAAGGTCCATTCCCACCCAAACCACTGTGGGATTTTGGGATTTACCTGCTGAAACAGGGGGTCTCCTGTGCCCTGCAAACCTGCACTGCTGCTGAGGTCTCCCAGTGCTCCTGTCCCCAAATGATGCTCAGCTCTGGCCCCGTTAATCACCCGTGCTGATGTGCCCAACTGACCCCAAAGGCTTTCTGACCATGGACTCAGCAAACACAACAACATCCCCTCAATTCCCCTCCTACTGAATCCAGCGGGAAAGAAACCAACAGCCACATCCTGGCCGAACTGAGACCCATTTTCATTGAAGTCCAGCACTGGTTTATTCCCTCCAGCACATTCCCCATCACCTTCCTGGTGTTATTAAACAGCAGCAGAAGCTCTTCCACTTCTTTAAGCAGCGTTTGTGCAGCACGGGCCGCACGTCCCCGCAGAGGAGGCTGTGTTTTATTTCTCTTCCCTTTTGTTCAAGTTCATTTGTATCCACGTGGCATTGCTAATCAGGGAATGGCACCCCTTCCAGCTGGCAGGCAATCTCCTGTGCTGGTGTTAGAGCATAAATAAAAATGAGTTGACTGCAACAATTTGCCTCAGCGAGGCTGAGCTGTGGCAGCTTTTGGGGGAGCCCCGTCACCCCCCGGCTCAGCTCTGCATGGCTGGACAGGGGTGATGTCCCCAACCTCCTCACTGGCCCTTCTGCAACTGGAGGGGTCACTCCTGGCTGGGACCAGCCACCACTCCTCATTTTGGGAGCATTTCCTGCAATAACAGTACGGAGCAAAGCCTCTGAGCTGGCTCAGATTTCCTGTCTTTGGCTGAACAGGAAAGTGAAAGGGGGGAAAATCAATATCCCAGAAAGAAGAAACACCTGATCCCGTGTCAGTCCTCACCTTGGGCAGGCTGGAGGTTAATTCAGAAAGCACTTCCCAACATGCTGTAAATGTTAAATCCCACTGGAGCTGGAAGGACACGAGCTCCAGGATCCAGAGGGGAGGCTGTGGGGTCCCAGCTCACGGTCACTCCATCCTTAGCACCTGGGGGAAGGGGCTGGATGTGGCCCCAGCCTTGGTGGAGTGGTTTTATGCTGCCCTTGCTGCTCCTCACGTGGGGTCCCCGGGCAGGCAGAGCAGCATCCCTGGCACAGGGGAGGAGCAGAGAGCTGGTGGCACAGAGCTGCCTCACCCAGCTTTCCCACATGGATCCTGTGCTGCTCCAGCACCTCCACGCTGCCCGTGGGGCTCCCACTGCCCAGGCAAGGAGGGGGCAGATCCTTTCCCTCATTAACAGCCCAGCAATCCAGGCTGGACCTTCCCAGAGGGCTCCGGAGCATTCCCGGCGTCGGGCTGGAGTTGGAGATGTGACATTTCAGGCCCGGAGATAACGAACGTGACGTCCTGTCAGGGTTAATTAGTCCCTTTGCTCTGCCTCCACAGCCACAAGCCTGGCCAGGGCTGGCAGGGACAGGGCACTGTCACCTCTGAAGGCTCCATGGGCAGAGGAGGAGATTCTGGGACTGACAGGAGCAGTTGCCTGATGAAGCAGTTGGTTTATTCTTAAATGTAAGTGCTGAGAGCAACCAGCAACCTCCCTTTGCCCGCTTGGGATGACTGGAGGGTCACTCCAGGCCCCCACATTGTGTTTTCTGTACTCTCTTTATTCTCTGTATTGTCT